AGTTGAAATACATTAGCTTGGTTTAAATCTCAGGAAACCCAAACCACTCCCTATTGTGTGAATCAATTAAGAAAGCCTGTGCCCAAAAGCACCCTGGAACAGGATGGTAGGGTATATCAGCACTGCCTGTGATCACTGCTGGCTACAACAGCCCCTCTGCAATACTTCTTCAGCCCTGCCTCCCCAACTCGCCTGAAAGACACCTGGCCCTGATGCTACAAAGAGACACCTGATAGGTGGGAGGGTGGTCAGTTCTCACCTGGATCAGCCCCCTGGAATCAGGAAGAGAAATGCTTGGGCTGTTAAATACTTGGCAGGCTAAGTGCAGTGGAGTGATTGTATCGGAATAACGAATGCATTATAGGAAGTGATAGTTTTCCGTTCTGCGCTTCAGCATTCGGTAATTGTGGTGGATAGCCCATTCCCTGAGTGGGGCAGTGTGCCCTCAGAGACCTGTTTCCCAAGGTTCTTTTCTGAAAGGCAGCAGATCTTCTGGACCATAAACACATCTCACTCAGAGGGTCTTAGGAAGCCCACCTTGAAACACACATGTTCCTTGGCAAGGACTCTGGGTAAGGGGTTCAGGTTCTTGTGGGATGCAGCTATGTACCCTCCAGAGGTCTTCTGCTTTATCTGTTTATTGTCCATTAAATGTGGGCAGTAATGGAGATTGCCAGAAGTTCTGCTGTGCAGGGGATTTTGATCCTAAAAAGCACTTTACAGACTGTGCAAGCAATATTAGATTTGATTCTGTAAATTGAAATAAATTTAACTCCATGCCCTGACCTTGGAAGCTGCGGAGGGGAGGCAGTTACTTCTGAAGAGCCTGTTGTTAGCATCCTGAAGTCCATGAAAACAAGAATCCTGTACCCTATCTGGAGAATGACATGTGGGGGACTTGTTCATAGCCTGTGCCACCCTTAAGGGCTGATGGCTCTGAGGGGCCCACGTGAAGCTTGAACATAGGGTCCTGACTGATGCTTCAGGCTCACAGTCAGCTTTGAACTTCTTATACTCCTGCCTCAGCCTTCCAAGTAATAGAGACTCCCGGCCCTGCCCCAGTACCTGGGGGATTAAGTGCTGCCCTTTGGCCTTGCACCCAAGGAAATCTAGGCAGCAATTCAGAGACTGCCTTGGCTCAGGTCACAGAGCTTATGAGTAAGGTGATTTGTTCCCTCACCTCAACCGTTTGCTCCTCTGTGCCCCTTAACTCTGTCAAACTTCTCTAAGTGGGAGCTCACCCCAAAATCAGCCTATCTGAGAGGATTCAGATATGCCAGCTCTGGATCCCAAATTCCTAGCACTTTTCTTACACTCCAAGGTGTCCCC